TGCATAGTTCTGTTGAAGGACACGTTTGCAATGTTGAAAAGCCAAAACCCATTCTGCAAATAAAATAGGAACAGGTAATGTTATAGTTTTAATTTTTAGCACCGAACTTAACTCAAGTTTTTCCCCAAATGTAAATACTTGAATATTGCACTCCTGACATAACTATTTGCTTTCATTACAGGTGACCAAGGACCATGATAGGGAGAAAGCAAGAACGCCTAGTTGAGAACAAAGAATGGAAAATTTAAAAAGAACATGAATAGGTAACTATTGCATCAGTGCATCCTGCCCTTTTTCATCCAAAAAAACTGCGAAATTAAAGACCCACGAAACTAAGTACCACTAAGATAGTAACAATGAGATCCTTGTTCTGGACCCAACCCCCAATGAACTCAACTATCACCAGAAGTATGTTTTCGAATTTCCTTTCAAGCAGATTGGCCAAACAAACATATTGGCATTTTTAATAGGCCAGTCATGGTGTGTGCTCAGAACGTGGCAGGCAGGTGGGGTCCCCATACAAGATTTTCAGGCCCTGTACAAGATTTTCAGGGTTGACTCAGATGCAGACTTGACTGCGGCAGGATAAGGTCAGTTGGTAGAACACTTGACTGCAGAGGTGGGGAGGGGCGGGGGATCTATTCCAGGTCCTGGATCATTTTGTGGGGCCTTGAAATACCTGAGAATTGAAGGTACTGTCTTTTCCCTGCAGATTGCTAGACCTTCATGGGTTCAAATGATTACGTAAAATGGCAGTCCTGTCTGCATTAGGAGATGTAAAAATAGTGTCCCCCATTAGTACTTTCGCGCTAGACACATTGACACTCAAAGTGCATTTTTTCTTAGTTTCATCTGTGGTGCAAGCTAGTAAAATTGTGACAAGGATAGATGTGGGCAACCTAATTCTGGAAAAGAATGACTCAAGGGAAACGTTTCCTCAGTGAAAGCCTACCCAGTACAGTGGAGGGGATGCTAGACAGGTGATCACACATTAATAAGGTACAGCGTATATGTTAGTGTTATCTATTATATGGGTCTAAGGAGAAGTTGTACATGTACTTTAACAAGTTTGAAACCAACTTGCATTTTATTGCAAAATCAGATATGATATTTTTACCTTGTCACCATTAGCACAGAGGGCTGGGCAAGTTCATGGGGGGAGGGAGTAGCTCACCACATTTTTAGCCTTGTAACCGTTTAGCACAGAAGGCTGAACCAGTTCATGGGGGAAGGGAGTAGGTCACCACAATTTTACCCTTTTTACCATTTAGCACAGAGGTCTGGGCCAGTTCGTGGGGGAAGGGAGTAGGTCACCACATTTTAGCCTTGTAACCGTTTAGCACAGAAGGCTGGGCAAGTTTCTTGGGAGGAGGGAGTAGGTCACCACAATTGTACCCTTGTCACCATTTAGCACAGAGGTCTGGGCCAGTTTCATGGGGAAAGGGGGTAGGTCACCACAATTGTACCCTTGTTACCATTTAGCACAGAGGTCTGGGCCAGTTCATGGGGGAAGGGAGTATGTCACCACATTTTTACCCTTGTCACCATTTAGCACAGAGGGCTGGGCCAGTTTATGGGGGAAGGGAGTAGGTCACCACATTTTTAGCCTTGTAGCTGTTTAGCACAGAAGGCTGGGCCAGTTCATGGGGGAAGGGAGTAGGTCACCACATTTTTAGCCTTGTAACCGTTTAGCACAGAAGGCTGGGCAAGTTCATGGGGGGGGGGGAGTAGGTCACCACAATTGTACCCTTGTCACCATTTAGCATAGAGGGCTGGGCCAGTTCATGGGTCAAGGGAGTAGGTCACCAAAATTTTACCCTTGTCACCATTTAGCACAGAAGGCTGGGCAAGTTCATGGGGGAAAGGAGTAGGTCACCACAATTGTACCCTTGTCACCATTTAGCACAGAGGTGTGTGCCAGTTCATGGAGGAAGGGAGTAGGTCACCACATTTTTACCCTTGTCACCATTTATCACAGAGGGCTGGGCCAGTTCATGGGGGGAGGGATTAGGTCACCACATTTTTTACCTGGTAACCATTTAGCACAGAGGGCTGGGCCAGTTCATGGGGGAAGGGAGTAGGTCACCAAAATTTTACCCTTGTCACCAATTAGCACAGAGGACTGGGCAAGTTCTTGGGGGAGGGAAGTAGGTCACCACATTTTTACCCTTTTCACCATTTAGCACACAGGTCTGGGCCAGTTCATGGGGAAAAGGAGTAGGTCACCAAAATTTTACCCTTGTCACCAATTAGCACAGAGGGCTGTGCAAGTTCTTGGGGAAGGGAAGTAGGTCACCACATTTTTACCCTTGTCACCATTTAGCACAGAGGGCTGGGCAAGTTTATGGGGGAGGGAAGTAGGTAACCACATGTTTTACCTGGTAACCATTAAGCACACAGGGCCGGGCTAGTTCATGGGGGAAGGGAGTAGGTCACCACAATTGTACCCTTATCACCATTTAGCACAGAGGTCTGGGTCAGTTCATGGCTGAAGGGAGTAGGTCACCACAATTTTACCTTTGTCACCATTTAGCAAAGAAGGCTGGGTCAGTTCATGGGGGAAGGGAGTTGGTCACCACAATTTTACCCTTGTCACCATTTAGCAAAGAGGGCTGGGTCAGTTCATGGGGGAAGGGAGTAGGTCACCACATTTTTAGCCTTGTCATCATTTAGCAAAGAGGGCTGGGCCAGTTCATGGGGGAAGGGAGTAGGTCACCACAATTTTAGCCTTGTCACCATTTAGCACAGAGGGCTGGGCCAGTTCATTGGGGAAGGGAGTAGGTCACCACAATTTTACCCTTGTCACCATTTAGCAAAGAGGGCTGGGTCAGTTCATGGGGGAAGGGAGTAGGTCACGACAATTTTACACTTGTCACCATTTAGCACAGAGGTCTGGGCCAGTTTCATGGGGGAAGGGGGTAGGTCACCACATATTTACCCTTGTCACCATTTAGCACAGAGGGCTGGGTTAGCTCGTGGGGGAACAGAGTAGGTCACCACATTTTTACCTTGTCACCGTATAGGACAGAGGGCGTGGCACTTTACGAAAGGAGGGAGTAGGTCACCACATTCTTTACTTTGTCACCCTTAATCGCGGAAGGCTTGCCCAGTTTTTGGGGTAGGGAAGTAGGTCACGACATTTTTTACCTGGTCACCATTTAGCACAGAGGGCTTGGCCAGTTCATTGGGGAGGGGAGTAGGTCAGCACATTTTTAACCTTGTCACTATTAACATTTCATTGTGAAGATGAAATGCAACTTTTCATTATGAATCAGTTTGTAAACAATAAACGTACAGGTTACATTTGTTGATAAGGTTTTCTGTCGTGGGCATCGAAGTAGAGAAGTTGTCAGAATATCTGATAAGGGATGGTTAAGGCTGGTGGTTAAATGTGGCCCGAATACTGTACAGTAAATCTTTCCAGTTACTGCACATTCGGTTACATTTTGAGACATGTGTTGACTACACTTACAAGTGAAATAATATTGTTAAATTGCCTATTTTTGCAGATGAGGTTGTTTTGTGTTTTGAAAAGATGGGAAAGAGGAAAATAATGCAGCAAGTTGACAATAACAGGTGAGATCTTATTTATCTGTTTGTAGTTGCTCAAATATACCAACTGTACACGACAGGACAACTTGAATACTGTCAACAACTGGACAACCAAATACAGTCAATAAGTGTACACAACTGGACATCCAAATACAGTTCACAGATGTACACAACTGGACAACCGAATACAGGTAACATCCACACACAATTGGACAACTGAATACAGTCAACAAGCATACCCATCTAAACAATTGGATACAGTCAACAACCGTGTATAACTGATCAACAAACGAACAATAAATACACTGAACAAATGTATACAACAATACAGTTAACAACCCTATACTGTTAAAAGGAAAAAGAGCTAGTCACACAAAGCTAAGCAACGTGGGAGAGAACATAGTAAGATTACGCCTTCGGAACAAGACAGACGAACAACTTCGACAAAACATAACAGCTTTGGTAATATTTGCGCCTCTTTCTGAGGCAACGCTTGCGTGGGCTCGTGGATCAGTTCACTCTCCTTAAATTACAAACATGTCGGCTGCTTTTTCCCTGTCGTTGTTTAACTTAGTTTGGATGACTTATTGAGGTGGTTTAGCTCCCGGCTGAACCTTCGTTGGCGGGGTGTTTTGCTGTAAGAATCCCTATTCGAAAATAGTTTATGGGGGTAAAATACATTAATGGGTGTTTTTTTTGTGACCAGGTATCTCTGAACATCATGGAAATGGTGACTATCAGAAGCACTAGAAGAATTCTTCTGAAAAAAGGTGAGTCTATTTATTAGCAATCGCTGGGTGATAACTTATGACTAAACAGAACAGCATTCACTGAGCTGGTGTGTAGATTTTCCATCACTGAAAAGGGAAATGCTAAAAACCATTAAGACTGATGCAGTTGCAGTTACACTGTAGTGTCGTGGGAGAGGAATTTCTTTTGTACAATATAAGAGGAAAAGAGTCAGAGAAAACATAGCTACTTTGTTAATCTTGCATCTCTTTCTAAGGCAACACTTGCGTGGCCTAGTGGGTAAGTTCACTTTCTTTAAATTAAACACATGTTGGCCGCTTCTTCCCTGTCGTTGTTTAATTTAGTTTGGATGACTTATTGAGGTGGTTTAGCTCCCGGTTGAACCTCTGTTGTCGGGTCATTTTACTTTTTTTCTTCAAGTTCCTAGAAAAATTTTGACTTTTAATTTTTTTTGCCTATTTTCTTCTTCTTTTTAACCAGCAAGAGAGTTCTAATATTTTAGACTCTTTTCTTGGTTAAAGAAGAAGAAAAAAAGGCGAAAAAAAATTTTAAGTCGAAGTTTTTTCTAAGAATTTGAAGGAAAAAAAGTAAAATGGCCCGACAACGGGGGTTCAACCGGGGGCTGAACCCCCTCAATAAGTCACCCAAATTAAATTAAACGGCGGCAGGGGGGAAGCGGCCGCCTTGTGTTTAATTTAAAGAAAGTGAACTTATCAACTAGGCCACGCAAGTGTTGCCTGAGGAAGAGGTGCAAAATTAACCTAGAAGTAGGTACAGGGTCTATTGTTCACATTGAATAACGTTGATTACTCTTAATTTATTCACATCCCGTGCGGAATTTCAGTGCCTAAAGAATATTCAGTGGTAAACAGCATGTGATATAAGCGAAATGAGTTGACTTGAATTTTCTTTTTTCTCTTTCTAGTGATCCACACGGCTACAAGAGAAGAACAGATTTTCATGGTTCTTTTTCAGGAAATCATAAAAGAAAAGAAATAAAGTTAACTTTATTGTCGTTGTTTCATCGAAGATAGGATAAACGAGTAAGTATTTGAACAATTTATTGACAATGTTAACTACTATTTGAATACTGTTTGAAAGTACTGAAGTTTACAGTTGATGTTCACTACTTTCATACAGTATTCAGACACTAGGTTATTGTCAACAGTTGTTCAAAGACTTTCTTGTTTATTCTTGACACAATTGTTCACTTTCAAATACTATAGTGTTCTACACTTAGTCAAAATTTTAGATCACTCTTAAATACTATAGTGTTCTACACTTAGTCAAAATTTTAGATTGATTTTCAAATACTATACTGTTCTACACTTAGTCAAAATTTTCGATCAATTTTCAAATACTATACTGTTCTACACTTAGTCAAAATTCTAGATCACTTTCAAATACTATACTGTTCTACACTTAGTCAAAATTCTAGATCATTTTCAAATACTATACTGTTCTACACTTAGTCAAAATTTTAGATCACTTTCAAATACTATACTGTTCTACACTTAGTCAAAATTCTAGATCAATTTTCAAATACTATACTGTTCTACATTTAGTCAAAATTCTAGATCACTTTCAAATACTATACTGTTCTACACTTAGACAAAATTCTAGATCAATTTTCAAATACTATACTGTTCTACACTTAGTCAAAATTCTAGATCAATTTTCAAATACTATACTGTTCTACACTCAGTCAAAATTCTAGTTCGAATTTCAAATAGTACTATACTATTCGACACTTCAATAAAGTAGTCAAAATCTTCAACATGTCTCAAACTTTATTGACACTTCACAACGCTTTTCGTCTACACGATTCACACTGTAAATAGGTTTCTGGAGCGACTGAGTCTTCACAACACTGCACCTGAAAATAATTCAAAATAGGAACTTTGTAAAAGCGTACAAAAACATAAACTAACTTGTACACCATACTTCGTCATATTCTTTCCAACAGTTGTTTACAAAAACGTGGTCTGAATAACACATCGTTTTGGAATATTTAAGTTGTTTTGTACGCGTTATGAATAGATAATGACTAATAAACGTGATCACCGAAGAAAAAAAATCTACCGAGCCATTCAATTGCTCTTCAAAAACTTCTAATCTAATACAACCAGCTGGTTTAAAATCCTACTCTCTTTAAATGTTTTGACACAAAAACTAGCTTGCGATCCAGTTAAAGTCGCGAATAATCAAGAACGTTGTTTTAGGTTTTTGGATTTTGTTTTGCACATAAGAAAACATTCCACACGAGAAATGAATAAATTATGACTCATCAACGTGATTCACTGAGAACAATAGAGCCTGTACCTACTTCTAGGTTAATTTTGCACCTCTTTCTCAGGCAACGCTTGCGTGGCCTAGTGGATAAGCTCACTTTCATTAAATTAAACACAAGGCGGCCGACAAGGCGGCCGCTTCCCCCCTGCCGCCGTTTAATTTAATTTGGGTGACTTATTGAGGGGGTTCAGCCCCCGGTTGAACCCCCGTTGTCGGGCCATTTTACTTTTTTTTCTTCAAATTCTTAGAAAAAACTTCGACTTAAAATTTTTTTTCGCCTTTTTTTCTTCTTCTTTAACCAAGAAAAGAGTCTAAAATATTAGAACTCTCTTACTGGTTAAAAAGAAGAAGAAAATAGGCAAAAAAAAATTAAAAGTCAAAATTTTTCTAGGAACTTGAAGAAAAAAGTAAAATGGCCCGACAACGGAGGTTCAACCGGGAGCTAAACCACCTCAATAAGTCATCCAAACTAAATTAAACAACGACAGGGAAGAAGCGGCCAACATGTCTTTAATTTAAAGAAAGCGAACTTACCCACTAGGCCACGCAAGCGTTGCCCGAGAAAGAGATTAACAAAGTAGCTATGTTTTTCTCTGACTCTTTTCCTCATATGCTGTACAAAAGAAATTCCTTTCCCACGACACTACAGTTAACTGCATTTGCATCAGTCTTAATGGTTTTTAGCATTTCCCTTTTCACTTATGGAAAATCTACACACCAGCTCAGTGAATGCTGTTCTGTTTAGTCATAAGTTATCACCCGGCGATTGCTAATAAATAAACTCACCTTTTTTCAGAAGAATTCCCCTCGTCCCTCTGATGGCCACCATTTCCATGATGTTCAAAGATACCTGGTCACAAAAAAACACCCATTAATGTATTTTACCCCCATAGGGATTCTTACAATAAATACACCACAAACAAAAAATTTCCTAAGAAATGGCCAGAGTAATACTTTAATCTGAAAGAAAGGACCCCTAAGTCTGATTTTTTTTTTCTTGTTTGTAGTCAATGATTGGAAGTCAATTAAGAAAACAACTAAGAATTTTTTTTCCTGTCCTAATTGTCATCTAAGAGTATGTGCACATTCATTTTTAGTACTGCATCATACTTATTTTCAAGCTCTGTCTGAAATGTTTTTTTAAGTTTTTTTTTTACTACTGAAAGTAACAAAACATCAACAGCAATAAGGATTAGTAAAATACTTTTTTTCTACAGTAAGGAACCAGTCCTTGAAATTGTTTCAATGGCAAGGAATGGTGTGAATTAGTTAGACATTAAAGTCCAACTACACCCCCTACCAGTAATGAGGCAAACATGACGCCGTGAATAGCGAACGGTAACGATTTAATGGCAACAACTCAGTTATAATAACATGGCCAGCAAGAGCATAAAAGAACAACAACAAAACAAAAAGCACATCCTCGCCTTATAAAGCCTGCTGGTGCATCACCATTTTTAAACGAACAAACGAGCAATAAGTATCCTAGAAATATCAACATCTCCATCCACATTAAGTAGCAGATTGTCTCACAGTTCCAAAAGTCCAAGAAGACCGGAGCAACTAGTACAGAATGTAGTCTTGTAGGTACTTTGGAGGCCTTGAGGCAGCGGGGATTGGTGTCTTGGGTGATGTCAGTTGCACAGGGAAGGTGAGGTAGCTGTAGGAGCCAGAGAATGGGGGTAGCTTTTTACATCTAGAAAGGCTGGTGGGTAGTTGGGCTGCCATGAAAGGAGTCTTAAGAGACCGGACTGTGTGACCAAAGTAGCTCAGATAGAGTGGCGAGTGGCTAACAAAGAAGAGATGCAAGGGTAGAGGCTAAGTCACCTTCATAGTAAGCATGGGAAACTGATAAGCTCTCCACGGGTATGACAGTTGCGATTACACCGTAACACTCAGATAATTTGATTTTGTACAATATAGTGGAGTTGAGAACCAGTGAATTTCTCAATGATCACCACTCTTTGTTGATGCGGGCAATGATGTACCTTGTGCGAGCTTGTGACTCATACCATTCAGATTTCATGTATACTACTTCCAACTTATAGGAGCCGAAAGCTTCAATGGGAAGGAGTCATGGCATCCTTTGGCGATTGGTGTGCTTCGCTATGATGCGCTGCATGTCGGACACAGGTACCTGCTCATGAGTGAAGTGGTTGTATTACCTCCAAATCTCATAGCGAAGGCCTTAGATGTGAAGTCGAGAGTTTACATGGACTATGGCTACATCAAGCCATAGTTCAGCAACATGGCTGCCACCAGGCTTTTGGCACAACAGACATGTTTTAAAGTACTGCCTTTTCAACAACAAGATTTTCTTGATGGTTCAATGTGGCCGACTTCGATGGGAAAACCAAGATTAAGTAGTGCACTTGTGTACTCTTGGAAGACAAATCCAGGTACAGGGTCAACATGTTTAATCCTCGTTGGGACCGTCCAAGTGCTATAAGCCAATGACCAGTCAGGCAAGGGTGTCACAAACAAGTCACTTTTATCATCAGGTACTATGCATGATGCAGTGAGGGAGGTTGTACATTCTCTCAAGCAGGATGGAGACATGGGCTGCAAACGACAAACCCATGACTTCAGGTGGATCATTTGATGACTGGTTGGTGAGGGTGCGTTGGAACTTTTAGAGGCGCAGGTGTGGCAGGAATCTGACACGCAAGTGACGGCGGTGCTTTGAAGGGTGGTGAAACTTGCTTTGG